GGGGGGGGGGGGGGGGGGGGGGGGGGGGGGGGGGGGAGGGAGAGAAAGAGGGGAGGGGTTGGGCTTATTTCTGATTTTTTTTGCCTATTTCTTTATTCCATTATGGTATTGTTCTGGCCAAGTGTAATCTTTCCGTTTCAGCACGTTGAGGATCTTCTTCCCGCATTATTGAAAGTGTACAGTAATTTACCACACTTGAAATGGATCGATGATGGCGCACTGAATCGTCAAGATAGTATGCTTTTTAAGTATTTTTCAATTTATATGAATATCACTTCGTAGTAATCAGTCGAGCAGGATATGGTGCTGCATCTGATAATGCGCCGTAGCCACCGTACATAGATGATAATCAGTAGTTAGGCCAGAATTATTCTATCAAAAGATTCCCGCGTTGGCCAATCTTTTATCAGTAGCACGCATTGAATTCGCCAACAGTGCACATTTATGTTAGATTTCCAGTACTGTATGTTATTATTCATTTTGTGCTGTGTAACAACATTACAAAACGCATATTGTCACGGGGTTGTGTGTGTGTGTGTGTGTGCGTGTGTGTGTGCGTGTGTGTGTGTGTCCCACATTTTGTCCCGCACTTTCAACTCGGGAACCGAGAAAGCTAGGCGGCTGAAATTTTGGTATTTCCGCGGTTAGCAGGTACGGCCCTGTGAAAGTTTTTCACGGGTGAATTAATATCTCGGGAACCACGGAGGTTAGGAGGAAAATTTTAGGGTAATGACGCCCCTGCCCGTTCAAATTCAGCGTTCCTGCGCTCTCGGATATCACCTACGGCCCCGTGAGAATTTTGGCGGGTGAACTGTTAACTCGGGAATCATGGAAAGATATTCGCCCTTCAAGGTTTTGAATTCAGCTTTCATGCGCTGGTGCGAGAAACTTTTAACTGTTTTCCAGTGTTTGAACTATTTTTGCATAGACTAAAGTACAAAGCAGTGAAAATCATCAATAGGCAATCGTTCTATGGGCTGAATTGCACAAAACGCATGATCGCACCGGCTAGTCTTGGTGCGCGTTGCTATTTATTTTACAATTATTTCACTCTGTTAACTTGCCTGCTGTTTATCTTTTTAGTTTTCACTTTTGCTTTCAGTTTATTCAACTTCCTTTTTGTCAAATGTGTTATTGCCACAGCCGTTGCATTTACTGAAGTCCAGTTGTGGTAGTAAAAAAGAATATATACGACTTAATGGAGTGAAACATTCCTGTTTAGAATTATCATTCTTATTTCAGTCTTTTCTCGAACTGTTTCAAATTTATCAAATTTTCTTAGAATCAAATTATCATGTAAACTGTAGCTTATGAGAAAGCGGATTTCCCCACTGAGTGCCGTCAGGCACTAAGTTGAGAGGAAATCTGTCTACTGAGTGAGTTTCGAAGATGGCTAGCTTTAATAGTTCATAATAGCAATGGATGCATGGTGCCATCATGTGTTTGAGGACTATTCCTTCATTCATAAAAATATATCGACCTAAAAAACCCGTCGTTACCTTGCTTCATAGACCCGAAGGGCATTTCTACCATTCACTGATCACCAAAAGGCACTTTATCTCTGTTTTTTGTAGCTTTCCCTTCAGTACTTCGTCTAAGACCAACTGCAAACGTTGTTAATCGCATTTTAGGAACCGGTGAACACCGTCGTTTGGTACCTAACTTTCTTAATCTTAGATCACCATGCGCTTCGCCGATCCGGGAGAGACGAGGAGTTAAAAATTTAAAAGCAAAATATAATACTGGTAAGGACAAGCGATCACTACACAGTGAGCGTCTAGCAAATGCGGCTGTCACTTCATCGCCAGCTGCATCTTGAATATTAGCACTTATCTGGGGGCTTTTCCAGAAATTCCAGTGCAAGAGCAGTTTGCGCTATGCTTCAATACGATTCTCAGTGAGCTTGCTGCTAAGTACGCGAATGTACGCGATCGAATTGTTTCTGCACAAATCGAACTGCTTTCCATCACAGCGGATATCATCATCGAAATTTGTGGCGAGGCACAGCCCACATTCCAAACTAAATGTTAGCTTCAAATATTCAGATTAACAGCGCTCGTCTCACTTTGATTGTTTGATTAGCGATTGTTTCATTGTAACACATTTTCATGCCATCGATGCAACTGATAGCTTTTTTTTTAAACAGAAACTTCTCTGCCAAATGCTATTGACATGATTTGACTGAAATGCTCCATGTGATTCTTCTTGGCGTTTGTTTGGTCATTCAGATGATCCACTGGGTTCCCCAGCATGTACCGGCTGAAAGTGATGCGAGTTGAGTGCGTTGAATTTTGGACGCAGGAATATTCGAAATCACTGTTGAAAACGACCATTTGGCCTTCAAGTCCCATTTAACTTCACGAGGAATAGGGTGGTCATCGTTATCACTGCTTTTATAATTCGAACCTGATGCTTTTTAGTGTATCTCATGCGTGTTCTCTGCTTTATCATTGGATTATTTCGTGCATTTGGGCGTTACAGTAACGATAAGGAGCATCCACTGATCTCGGCAATTTATCCTCCTCCCTTCACCATCGGCAAAGCAGACGGAATGAATTCTCAGCCTGGTGAACTCGACAGGTTCCTGGACTTTTCTCTCTTCAAAGCTTTCTCATTCCTCTAATTGAATTTATTTGGATCATATTTAAAGTCACAGTTGACTATTAAGCAATCATTCGAACTTTCGAAGAGATCAACTGCGTGGAGCGAGCATAGGTTGTAAAAAACAGTTCAGTTTGAACTAGTCTCACTCAGCAGGATTATCGAAAGCTCCACTGTGGTAGTTCACTGGATAATTTTTGATTCGTAATGAGATTGTTGTTTAAGGACGAAGGGTCTTCGATTAACAACCGATTCCGAAAATTGGTTTTGGAGTGATGAGAGCAGTCCGGAGAAACAGGAGCAGAGTGCTCGCTTTCGAAAAATGCTTTCAAAGCATGGCAGCAGTTTTATACTGCCATTTCCTCGCGATGGTACACCTCCGAAATTCAAGTTCACGGTTGCCGAACTCAGTTCCTTTTCCGATATAGTGAGTTTGATTTTGTCAGATTTTATGTTCACTTTTTCTTGTAGTATTTTAAAATCATTTTAGGCCTTGATTTCTTTTTCATTTAATTCTTTTGATATGCGATATAGTCCGTTTAAAGTTGCCTTTAAGGTCGAGCGCTTACTGAGGAAGCCGATTTTGGATATCATGGATGTTTATGCAGCCGACATTTACATGGTTAGCGCACTGTTCGTACATGATTCTTTTTGGCTCTAATATGTGTCTTCTTACGATTATTATTTTCATACTCATTAAATTATCATTTTCATTGTTTTTATTTTCTTTGCTAATATTGTTATTAATCAATTTTAAGAACGGTCGTTTACTGAGAGAGTCGAATCACTCCTTTCTTTGTTATTATTATTTTCGGATCCTCTTCCACCATTAGTGTATTTATCATTTTGTCGGGTATTAGTCAAGTTAATAAGAAAAATATTTATTTACACAAATCTCAGACTCAATTGAAATCACGAACGTAAGGCAGTGCAAAAACTCGGCTTCGTTGGAGGTGGGCGGGAGGTTCCTGCTGTGGCCTGTCTTTCGCGGCCCACAATATCGCGGACTTGACGAATCCTGCGGCGATGAAGACTCGGACGACGCTTCCTGCTGACGATACTTCTCCGACCCTACTGCCCAGCGGACTGGATGCAACACTGTGTTTCAGCCATAGCTCAGGGTTTATATAGGCATCTTTCCTGACGGACACCCACTTGCTGCTCAACTCCACAGCACGCATAGCGTTTAATAATATCTGTAGTTCTGAAAAATTTGATAGCTTACTTGCATTCAGTAATGACTGTATCATATCCTTATATTTGTTATTGTTATCATTATCGTTATTATTATTATTGATATTATTACTGCTGTTATTGATATTATTGTTATTATCAGTGGTCTTGTTATTACCGCGTTATTATTATCATTATTATTATTGCTATTAGTTATCATTGTCATTACCACTATTACTTTTATGCTTACCAATTATTACTACCATCGCTGTTGCTGTTATTAATCTTGGTAGGGATTTATGCTCTGCGTTAGTAGGGGATATCGTTTCTTCTCTTACGTTTAAATCTTAACCTTCGAATTTTTCATTCAGGCTGGACAAGTCAGGCGTTTTCCATAC